TTTAATTGCTTTATGTGCAAATTGAATTATTAGGATCATGTTTAAGAAAATCCCTTTAAACTAAAAATTATATTAAGTGTGTAATGGGTTGAAATAAATAACATCCAAGGCCTCCATTATAGGTTTGTCAGTGAAGTGATTTGAATCGAGCCCAAAGGACGTTTTATTTCACATTTTACAAGGACAAATCTCCTTCGGGATGGTTATAGTGAGCTATTTCAAAAGCGTACGGGTCACCCAAAGGTGGACGTATAATTTTGGTAGTAAACTTAGTACCAATTAATGGGTTACACTTAAAGTGCAAATAATTACGATATTTCCAAAGGATAAGGTCGTTTTTATTCTTATAAAATTTATTTATAAGTTGATTGCGCTGGCCAAAAGTTCGACCGACTATTAGTTAAGTATTGCTTGGCAGTATGTTAAGCTAATGGGATTTATCCCTCCTCTTGCGACGGTTTGAACCGTAGACGTCCACACTCAGTGGCCTGCGGGGATTCGGTGTTTTGAAATGCCAGTGAATATATTCAAATATTGTTTTGAAGGGATCAATATTTGATGATTCGAAAACACTTGACTGAGTAAAGACTATGTTTGCATGATCCCAGGAATTCAAAATGTCTTTTCAATTTGTTGTCCGTAATACTCAAAGATAATTTACTCGTTCAAACATGATTAGAAATAGAACTTGGATAGTGTCTAGTTTTGCTGAATCATACAAGCCGAATGGCACGTGTATCTGGTTTAAGCGAAATAGACATAGAAAGATGAACTGTCCTATCCTTAATACAAGAAAGGTAAATCTTATTCACTGGCAAGTCGAAGCATTTTAAGTGGTGTTATCTATCAGTGCCTGGTATGTAGATACGTAACCACTAATTATGTAAAAAGGTTTCAATGAACCAGTCGACATGTGAAGGTTGAATTACCATCTAGAATGGGCTAGCTATGGAAGTAGCAACTATTGCAGTGAGAGTTATCTATTAAGTAGAATTTTTGGTTAATCGAGTAATTGCCTTTTCGTACCAAGTTTTAGAAAGAATTCATATTCAGCTTCTAAATTGTGTATGGATGAAAACATGATGTTTTATCTATTTGGTACGTAGGTAGATGATATGCTCAGTGAACCAATATGCCTCACAGTGCAGTAGGTGAAATTAGTAACACGTCGACTAGAACCAATAAGAAGAAAGGTCCTTCAATAAATGAATCATTACTTTAATTTGGCATCTAGTGTTTGAGATTTTAGAGTTAGTAGAATTCAAAGGTGGATATCCATTGAACTCATGGGTTCTTTGAGAATGGATGAAACTATCAGACCTACGAATTTTGCTTGGTGTCTAAAATCACAAAAATGACCTTTTGAAGGTCGAGGGATTTAGAAGCCAAATAAATGTTAAAAATGGTTTATCCGATTTGTAAAGTTCTATGATTTTAGGACAAAAGATAGTTTTGAATATTTTTCTTCGGAGAAATTTGTTCCAAACAGGGTACATTAAGTGACATTCCATAAGTCTGAGTACATCGAAAGAGTGCAATGGCAGTTATGGAAAGATGTCGAGTTTAATGTATCAGTGGCATTACGATTGAAATCGTAGTGACTAATACCTTTTGGAAAATTATAGAAATACTTATTGGAGGTTGAGATTCGATCTCAACGTGTTTCACCTGGTTCATCTGAACAGGACGGTGCAAC